AAATAAAGCGAGAATGAGTGCGATTCGATTCAGTCAAGGAGGCCGGAGTAAAAGGAAAAAAGCCATGTAAGGTTGACCGGAAAATTCTGATGAAAGCCTTATTCCACTACACACCTTTGCTTCCTTCCATCAAATCCTAAGATCTTCAAAACTGTTCCAAAAACGAAAGAGACGAAAGGAAAGGTAAAAGTCGAGACTGCTGTGTCACGAGATTTTGCATTCTGCGCATGCCCAAACTTTAAAAGCTGATATTTTGCATCTGCAGTAGAAGGCCGCCAATTGCTTGACATGGAAACGACGTTTCGGGCATCTTAATTCTATGGCTCTTTATAGTCCAAAATTGACCAGAAAACAGCTCGACTAGCTTCAAAACGCGATTTTCGACAAGTAAAGGAGCAAAAGGATTAATCATTACTCATTACTTGCGAAATATCCAAAAAAGGGAGACGCATGCATGACTCAAGTATTCATACAACGAAAACTTTTGAACCCAAGATGTTGGTTAACCGAGACGTCATAGTACAGGTCGTAAGTTTTCTTAAGTTACCGTTCGCGAGATAGACTACAAGTAGCCCCTCAATTTCCTCACGGACCAAGGAGTGTGAGAATTACACGAGCGTGCCTGAAAATCCCCTACGGGGGACGATTTTCACGCGCTTACGTCTTTCCCTTGCTCAACTATCCCTAGGAAAAATGAGGGGCTACTCGTAGTCTATTCACGTGATTTAAGTACTTTATTTCATTGGCTGTCATTTCAGTACACTTACCTATTAGCTTACATTCTGCTGAGTATAGGTTGGTTTGGTTTTTGAGTCACTACCTTTTAGTTGGAACCAAAACAGAAGAACAACACAACTGCAATCAGACCCACCAGTCCAGCAACCACTATCTTGATATTAGTTTCATCAAACCACCTCCCTTTAGAGAAAAGGATACACAGAATAAAATATATATATATATTTTTTACATAATATTTTATTTACCTGGTGCATATAACCTGCACGCTTTAAACCGACTCGTTGTAACGTTTGCGTATCACAGCGAAAATAATAATGATTATGATAATAATACAACAAAACTAGTTCTTGAGACCTGCTTTAAAGAGAAGGAAAATACCAAGCATTGCTCCGGTATGTTTTCTTTTTTCCTTTACTTCCTTTTTTGCGTGACGTTCTACTTGACATACCAGCTAAACTAACCAACCAGCTATAACTGAGTCTACACATTACCTTAGAAACTAGCGATTCTATTATACTAAGCTCTTCTATCCTCTTTTGATTAAACTAAACAAGTAGAGGAATAATTGACCAACCCGAGAAATTAAAAACTTAATTAACTATAAAGTGAACCTATTAACTAAACTAGAAGTAACAAGAATGAACTTGAAAGCCAACTACCCTTAACCCTTTGCAAAAAATGTTTCTCACTAGATTCAGTGAGTATTACTTAGCACTGAAGTACAGAGCAGCACGCACTCTGTATCTTGCCAATAGTTTGTCAAAACAAGGTACCATTTCCAAAAAAAATTAACTTCTATTTTGATAACGGGACGTTGTAAATCTAACATTACAAACTAAGTAGTCAGTTCAGATACCGTTAGCTAAGTTGCTTGGAATAAGGCTGACATAGTGATGCTCATGCAAGTGTCCCAGTACAAGCCGCTCACGGCCAGAAGCTCCACGCTGTGGGTTAATTATTACGTCATGATGACGTTGCAGACAAGAGATCACATGAATGCATGTGTCAAAGCAGTTTGCCGCACCGTGGAGAATCACGTGATCACCCCATGTACCATCTGTCATCATGCTTCTGAGGTAGGCATCCCAAGATGAATGTCCTTGAACAAATTGGAAAAGATCTGTCCCATCAGGCTGTAACAAGAAAAATACTTTTTTCAATGCCAAAAGAGTGTTGTTGTAATCATTATCAGTACCGTAAATCCTCTATTAAGCCCCCCCGGGTGCTAATATTTTTTCAAGCACTTTTGGGGGGGGGCTTAATAGAGGGGGGGGGGGCTTAAAAGAGAGAGGGGGGCTTATTTAATTTAGCGAAATACATCAACGGGAGCGACGTTCAACGAGGACGGACTTATGGTTACCGGGCGCCATACTGCTTTTTCTAACAATAAGAAAATTGTAACAATTCTCCTCAGAGAACTAGAGCATAAAGAAAGTTCAGCACATGAAGTAGGAGGTCATGCGGCCGAAGACCAAAAACAATATGAATTTCCAGCCAGTTAATTGTTTTTGAAGGATAAGGATGAAGGCGAGGGGGAGGGGGGGGGGCTTAATAGAGAGGGGGGAGGCTTATTAACTTTCCTCCTCTGAAAAGGGGGGAGGGGCTTGTAGAGAGGGGGAGCTTAATAGAGGATTTACGGTATGCTTCTTTACCTTTCCCACGGGGCACTTATTCGAAAGTAACTTCATAACTAGTAAGTCATTAAAAGTCATTGATAACTGCATTTATATAACGTTGACTAAGTTTTCATCCACGAGACCGAATCGAATCTAACATTTCCAATATTAGTTTAACACTTTCAAAGTTTAAAACACTGAGGGAATCTTTACTGAAAATGAAAGATGTGTCAAAGAGAGCAAGTCGAGCAAGATAGTCTTATTTTCCATCCTTGCCGTCTGTTCAAAACTTGATAAAAACCGAGTTGCGTAAGCATGACTTGTCCAATCACAAAGTGGGAGGGATTACACGAAAAAAATTAGGACGCTAGAATGCTTGCGGTTGGAACTCTCTACTACTCTAGTAGTATACTGAATTTGAATTTGATAACTTGCTTGTACAAGCACAAGCAAAGCGCGCGTGGTTAAAACAAAAGCCATAATGAGACTTTGTTAAAATAATTATTCCCGAAAAAGGTTTGAAACCCTTGAACAGCTGAGTAATCAATAGGAAAGCATTGGATACTACTAACCAGTGTAGGATTGTCCTTCAGATAACGGACAACATTTTTTCTAAGTTCTTTATCAGAGAATTTCATTCCTTTGATGAGTTTAAGCTGCTCTGAGATTGCAAAAAACATGCAGTTTCCTTTTCCCTGATTGTCGGAAATTACAAAGCCTCTGTCGAAAGCAACTTTCCTCAAATTCAGGGAAGGCTCAGTTTTGTCGGCACTTCTATATGCTTCAAGCTTGCCTGTTAGTCGAAGGGCATCGTAAGTGACCCCACCTGTAAATGAAAGGGGCAAACAATATTCAGTTTGTATCTCTCCGAAAAATTAAAACTGAAGTTAGCCTGAACATAAAAAATTTGAAATCTCCACTTGAAAGTTGAAAGTTTTTTGTCAAACTGAGACGCCGGGGTAAGAGCATTTCAGATAAGTTTCAAATTTGCCTATTATTACAAACAGCATGTTATATTAACATGATTATTTGATTTTTTGTTTCATTACAAAATGTCATCTTCCCTCCTTTATACGTTCAAATCTTCGGGATGGCAAATATTAAACTAGACCTAATCTGTAATTGAAAAAATAAATGACTTTCTATTTACTTCCCTTGGAATTTCAAAGGTTACGTTCAGCACATGTAAAAGATAGATAAATAAAAACTCCACACGTAACGTTGAAACTATTGAGCAAGTAATTCATGGTAGTATCCATATAGACTCCCTAATATGTTATACAGTATTTCTAGGGTAAACATGGGTACACAGGATATACCAGAGTATACAGGGTATACAGTATTATTAGGATAAACATGGGTAAACTGGATTTTCAAGGGTATACAGGGTATACAATTACACTAGGGTATACAAGGGTATGTAGCGTATACTTGATATACTTGTTATGCTGGTATAATAATCAATTGCATTAATATATTAATTAGGTAATACATTAGAGAGTCTATATGGAGACTACCATGAATTACTTGCCAACTATTGAGCAGTTGTCTCGTACCCAGATCTCTTGTTGAAGAAGAGCCTTCGGCTTCGTACAGACAAGAGATCTGGGTACGAGATTAATTGAATAGTACTCCGTGGTGTCGCAGGAACTAAGCTAAGCTTTGGAGGTTCCCGACGCAGTCCAATAGTGGGTATGTTATGTATCGGAGGATTTAATAATACAATGGAAGCCCGTTAATACGACCACTGTTGGACCATGGAATACTGGCCGTACTAGAACCTTGGTTTTCAGAAAAGAAGACGACTGAGTGTTTCTACTTTCGCGGCCAAATAGTAGAGACATTAAGATCGAGGCTTTTAGGCAAGTCACGTGACCAAGGCCTTGCCGTCAGGTTTGACTTGAGGTTCACGCTTGTAAAGCTGGACCACGCTCTAGAGGTTGCACTCTAAAACAGCAGAATCACACGTTTGAGAGGAAATACTACTTTTTAGAACTACTTCGTTTATTAATTATCGAATTATTTTTTATAAAAACGTAAATTTTAAGACGATTTCTCCGTCAAAATAAACGAAAACAAACATGGCAGCCGTGGGCTACCACCCAAATATGGGCAAACGTTGACATGAAACCGCTAACCGCAAACCGCAGTTTGCCGTTTATCATCCAGTTTACTCAAAATTACTCTTTGAACTGCAAAGCAAAATTTAGATAAGTTAGAAGCAAACTTTTCAAAAGATTTACTGGTTGGATTATGAGAGGAGCAAAACCACAACTGAGCCGAAGGAAAAGAATAGGAGATGGCATGGGAAAATACAACATGAACGTTTCCTGAATGTCCAATACTCACTTGCACTCCCATAGTGTGGCAAGGATTGAAAAGCAATTGTGTCACTGAGAATGTGAGCCGTTAGAGAAGCTGCTATAAAACTTGCGAATGTTCTCCAAGAATCCTTAACTTTTCTTCCATCAGCGTAGCCTGAAATTCCTTTAATAACTACCCACTCAATATCCAGGTCATGCGCTGCTGCAAACACACCTGAAATGGAGATTTGTGGGAAATGGAGAGAAGTGGAGTTAACAGTTGACAAATGTAGACGCCGGTGGAAAAAAAACATGGTCGCCATCTTGGCCGCCGTCTTGAATTTTACCAAGAATTAGAAATCAGGTAAAAACGGCTGGAATTGGTAACTTTTTTGTGCTTGACATGTAAAATAACATATAAATAAGTACTTTGCATCACTTTATCCACAAGCTTTACTTTTATTGTTGAAAGAAGTTGAAAAAACATGCAGTTTCACTCAAAAATGGCTTGACCACAGAGGGGGGTGGCCACCCCCCCCGCCCCCCACCCCGCTTTGTACATGTACGTCAGGGGGTTAAGATCGGGTTTGGCTTTCGTGGTCAACATTACCCCCACAGTCAAAGCACATTCCCAACACGTTTTGCAAATCTAAAGAGTGATTTGGTATACTACACAGATGGCTAAATTGCGTATGATGCAGGCAAGGATTTATTCCATTAGTTTAACCTCAACTGTTCCCAATCAAGCGGAGTGCAACTGCAGTAATCGATGGTAATTGAAGTTTCGAGGGATTACTATTGTAGACATAACAACCAAAAGCGGTTATTTACCTTCACTACAACATAAGCAGCGTTTTCCATTGTTGTCCCCTTCAGTAGCACTTCGTTCCTGTAAAGAACATAATTTAAAAAAATTGAAAGACTTTTATACAGCTTTCTTCAACCCACTTACGGCAAACCTCCCTAGGCACTCGATTGAGGAAACAAAGTCACTTAAAAAATGTAAACCAAGAACAATGAGAACCAAAGGGCTTCATGGTCAGTGGGAGTCGAAAGCAGTACGGGAAAAACAGGCACGCCTAATGATCACTCCAGGGTTTGCATAAGAACTGAATGCTTTAACTAGTTTCACGGTTGTAAAGTTTTGACACGCTCTAGAAAAAGATTTCTGAGTAAAAGGTAGCCATTAGGTTTTATATATAGAACTTGGAGAAAATAAATAATACTTGATGATGATTATTGCTTGATTGAGAAAACGCCATAACACGTTCGTATTTCGCCACGCAAGCTGGAACTTGAAACAGACGGATCTAGTAAATCAAATTGAAAAGATAGCAAGAAATTCTCGAAATTAATCGCTCATGATTTATGACAAATTAAAGAATTTATAAAGTCCTTGACTATTGTTTGAAGAAAGGCCATAATACCCGAGGTTACGCCACCCAAGGCCGTAAACACGTCTACGGTAAACAGCTGCGGTTGTATTCCACCTGGAAAGTTGAGATTACAAAAAACATGTATCGGACGATCGAGAGATGTTTGTGCTTTCCTTTCACATTTTCCAACCTAAACGATTGGAAAAATCGTCAGGTTCAGGTTTCCTTTAATATCACGAATAATAAAAAACACATAGAGTTCTCAATACACAAAAATATAGATGCTGTAAACCTCCGCAATTCTGAGCATTCCGTTCAAATATCATACTCACAGCAACGCCGTATGCAACTTCTTACTGAATGGTAGGTTTCAGTCCATCTAAGGTTTTTTGTTTGGAGAGTTTTTATCGTTCTCAGTTACTCTGCCATGACATTTTCCTGGGCAAATATTCCCGACTGGGTAAATGAAAATCTTTTCAACGGGAAAACACCGGTTTACCACGGTAAATTAAACTTTATTTTTTTCTACTAGAGTTGCCTCGTGTAACCACAACCAATGTGTTTGGTACTGTTTGTCATCGCCTTCAATTTCTGGCAAAAGGGCTATAAGCACTTGTTGGAAACAATCTAAAAAGATAAATTCGGCACTCAAGAAACTAAGGGGCGGATACTTTCGTCACAAGGATTTTTGGGATCATTTGGGCGGAAGTGTTAATTATGAATGGTCAACTAATTACGCTAACGCTTCAGTATCCACCCATGCTATCCCAGAAACCATCACGACCAAAGCTTGTAATTAAAGTTCCTTGATTGGGGAACGAACCACTAGCGATCGTGTCTTGGAAAAACGAGTTTAAGAACTAACCTGAGTAAGTGGAATCCCGCTTTGCTGAGGTGAGTCCGACAAAGCAAACCAATGTTCGAACATCGTGATGGTAATTGTAGGATCTCCACAAACGCCAGGTTTGTTGCAGAATGGCCGCTCTCGCAACTCTGACTCCGATAAAAAGTGCAAGCACTCGCAACCACGCATGCCATGAGCACGGCACGTGAAGTCGTCTTGAGAACATACAGGACAGCAGACGCACATTCTGTACTTCACGTGTTTTAACCAGAAGAACTCCTTGCAAATACGTTCAAGAAGACATTTCAGTTGCGAATAAATGGTTCGGCTTGTATTCAGATCACGAGCATCCTTTCCATCGTGAAAAACTATTTCGATGGATGAAGTATGCAACATAAATACTAAGGAAATTGCACGTTCAGGAAGAATGTGAAACATAGCAAAATCTTTGAACAATTGAGGATTCACATCTCTCTTCCATTCTTCTTGACACAACCGATAAAACAGCAGGAGAAGCCGCGAGAAAAAACCTGGAGGCACTCTTCGTGATCCAAACTCCACAAAAACTGAAGGGGTTCGTACACAATCAAGGTGCTTCAGGACTTTCTCTGTAGGAGGTGACATTAACATGGATGGTACAAGGTACTGCTTCGTAGTCCCGTCCGATGACGGCCATGAAAAAAGAAGATTAAATCTCTCCATTATTGAAATGAGGGTGCTTTTGCAAGTTTCTCGGTTATCATCTGTATCAATCAAAGACCTCCATGCATCATCTAAAACCTTTTCATCCAAGATTCCAGTCTTCTGAAAACTACGCCATAGATCCCCAAAGTCTTCCACGTCCTCCCAACTTTTGACCGTGATTACCTCCTTGAACACGTCTATGAGCCACTGTGGACTCAAAATGACCATGCTCTTCAGTTCTGGTGAATCACTAAAATGGATCAAAACTCTCTGATCGTGCAAGAAGTCAAGTAGTGTTCGAATTGTTTCCTCATCGTCAAAAATTCCACATTCTTCCGTAGCAATCTGTCGTGCTTTCTCGATGGGTATCCATTTATAGCCATCCTGGCTCAACAGATACAGAACCTTTTCAAACTTTAACCACTTCAGAGGAATGGCTTCTTCCATCTGTGGGAGCTTTTTGGCAACAGAAAGTACTTTTTCCCTTAGCTTTTTTACGCCTCGGCACTCATCATCACTTCCTGACTTTGTGTTGTCTACAACAAACAGGCCTTTAAGAAGTTCTTTATAAACCTTCTCCTTTAGGGAGTCATAGATTTTACTAGGGTTCGCATTCTGGCTTTGCTTGTCAGCATGTGTACAAGCTAGGAACACCGCAGGCAATTCCTTACTGACAGCATCTGGACGTACCAAAGAGTAAACTGATGACATCCAAAAATCAAGGTAATCGAGATTCGTTTTGTTGCAACAGATGTCCTCCAAATTCTCACCCATGCCTTTTTTTGTAGGAGGATCGGCTTTCTGGCATGGATCACAACTTAAGTCACAAGCCAAAATGTAGATGGCCTTTCGTGTCAGAAAAATTGGATGTGTGTCATAGTAAACAGACTGCCCTCCAAAATCCCAAATGATGGAATATATATCGTCTTTGTCGTTGTCATTCTTTTCAAGCAACCTCTGAACCAATGCCGCTATATCCTCTGGTAGCTTTAGTACGCGCAGATGATCATGGGAGACTTGACGTGATGGGGTCATCCCTTCAGCGCTCGGTTCCTCTAAATCGGCTTTGTCTTTTTCGACTAGTTTGGCGTCTTGAGGCGACAGCTCGATTATAATACTGTTTTTATGTTCATCGCAAAGCTCTTTTGCTTCCTGGTTAACCTTAGATGGCTCGGTCGCGGCATTGTTAGTATTTGGAGAAAGTTCTTCAGCATTAGAGCTTCCTGTCTTTCTTTCCTCTAACCTTTCAACTATCAACTGGGCTGCCTGGCGTTCAAACGAGAACGTTGGTTCTGATTCTGTACCTGTGCCATTCTTTCCTGTGCTCCAAACGTCAGTCGAGACTTTAAAATAGGAAGGATCTGTCTCTATGCCTTCCGTACTTTCCTCATTTGGATTGAACAATTCTCCTTTCAAAGACCTCTTTAGACTGGTTTTCCCTGTCCGAGCCTGCCCAATTATCATAACAGGAACTCTTCTTGCGTAACCTTTTCCTTCCAAAAGAGCTCTGTTGTAGGCTTCCGTGGCCCGGGGACCTCGGGCAAGAATCTCCGACGGAACTGAAGGTTTAAAATAGAACAACATTACTGCGACATTGCTATTCTTATACTTGGTCAAACTTATTTATTCACTTCCTCACGAGTAGATTCAACGAAACAAATGTTAAAATGGGGCGAAACTTCAGGTGATGATACGCTAACGTATTTATAGATGAAAGTAGGAGTTATAGTACGACGAACAAGGAATGAAAAGATAGACATCACGAAAGGGTCTAAATATTATTAGTTGTAATGGTTTATTAGGCTGACGCTTTAAAGTACCTATAGAAGTTCTGAATATACACAGTATTCGTTACTCAACGACAAATGGGTTGTGGTACTTAATCAGCCATTTCGTCGACGGCATTCTTTTGGGCACAAGCACCCTTCAATTCTACACTTTCTCGCA